ATGTCCTGCAGTGGATGCCGCATTCACCCCCTTTTTATAGACAGTTCAGCAAATAGAGGTAGTCTCCAATATACACCTACAGGATGTTTTTAAGTTGCAGACAAAGTGGGCGGCCATACGGACACGCACCCCCAACAGATCAGCCTCACACACCACCGGGGACACCACCGGGGCTCTTTGACCCACGATCTGTCAAAGGAGGGCGCCACATGGACCACGAGGGAGCTTCTAACCGTAAGTCTGCTTGCCATAACATTGCTGCACACACCCAGATTCCACACACAAAGATCCACCAACATTTCTTATCACATAGATGAACCAGGCAATATCGAATCCATTCACGTCACTTCTGGTAGTTGCGCTCCTGTCCTTTTTGTTTTTATCTGCAGTTCTAGATAGGCAGAGCCAGCTGTCCCTCACACAGCTGGGTGGATCTCGACAGCGGCGCTCACAGTATATTGCTGGCAATAGCCCACGATTTACTGAGCTTTCGGTCACAGAAGCACGCTAGTATATGTCCTCCCATGACCCTAAAGAGAACTATGGGGAAAAACACTTACCCCATAGTTCTCTTTTAAGTGCTCGTTTTCGTCTAGGTGCTAAAATAAATTTATACCACAAACCATGGAGCCGGCCGCTCCCACCAGCCTGTCTACCTTTACCTGCATTCATGATATACTGTGATGCACTGTAAAGGATGTGATGACTCAAAGGACCTTAGACCACTGTAGCGGAAGGGGCGAGAGGCTCCAGAGATTGGTCCAACAGCAAGCCAGCTCTGAGGATAGGACAAGTATAACTTTTATTTGATCACCTAGACGAAAATGAGCACTTAACCCTTGATAAAGGTTAAGAACAGTTTTACCCGGAGCTCTGCTTTAAGTCATGCAATGTGAATGAGAATGGGAACATATTACAAATATAAAGTAGGTGTTATTCTGATTTGGCTGCAAAAGTGCATATTTTCTGTACTACCAGGAGGGGGCGTTGGTGCATTACCAAATAACCTGTGTAACAGAACAAAGCTTCACTTAAACTGAAAACATGCAGCAAATTACTCCAACATCATTCTCCATAATTTATGAGGATTATTGTTTATATTGTTGTAATAGTTCTAGCATCCTAATTACTAATAACATTGCATTCCACTTTCACACCAGATGCAGCAGGATGCATTTGCATCTGTGCACTGTAAAATATTTTTGTTTATATTGTAGTAATAGTTTCAGCAGTCTTAATTTAAACTTTGCATTCCACTTTCACACCAGATGCAGTGGGATGCATTTTGAACGTGCTTTTACTGCTTGGATAGTCAAAAATACACATTGCCTAATGAGCGCAGTTCACAGCATTGGTTTGTTTTACAGTGCAGTGCAGTAAAAAAATAGTACATCAAGCTGCATGCACAGCAAATGCATCAAAAGCAAATGAAACACATGTACAAAAATGACAGACAGAAGAAGGATGTGGCATAAAGGAAGATATTTTGTAGTGAAAAAACAGCATTAAAAGAAACACCACAAATGAATGCTTGTCATTTCTATGTTGTGTTATCTGCAAATACAAATCTTCCAACTTTCTAAGATGAGAAAGAGGGACGCCTTCCGGCACAAGGTATTTAGGCAATAGACACATCCCTGCCATGTCCTGAGTTATGCGGGCCCTTAGGAATTTTTATGCCAGAAATGATTGATAAAACTCAGAAATGTTGTTTTCTATCATTAGTATTCCTTTTTACTGGCGAAATAGCAAACAAGATAACTGAAGAAAATGCAGAATAAAACTTAACCCCTGCAGTGGGGCTATCCCCGCCCCGCAAGGGTTAAGTGTTCGTTTTGGTCTGGGCTCTAAAATAACAGATATATACTCATCAGAACCTCGGTCTGCCTGGCTGCTAGATCAATGCTAAAGCCTGATGAAGGGACCCTGTGCGTTCCCGAAAGCGCTTGTTGGTCATACGACAAAAAACTTCAATAAATGAAGCTTTTGCTATCCTAAAAGGACTGGTGTGCTGGTGACATTTCTATATTTTGGCTGCTGGATCAGTGCCTGCAGCCTCTCTCCCCCCGCAATGGAATGTCCTGCAGAGTCCTCACGTCCTATAAAGTGTATTGGACATGATGACTCACGGATCCTTAGGCCGCTGAAGCAGACAGAGAGAGAAGTTGCAGGGACCAGACTAGCAGCCAGGCGGGACCGAGATTCAGGTGAATAAATCTTATTTTAGATCCTAGACGAAAACAAGCACTTTACCCTTGCAGTATGGGAGTGGCCCCACTGCAAGGGTTAGGTTTTCTCTGCCTGGAGTTCAGAGGCGGCTCTCTAATTAGGCAAATTAGGCGGTCGCCTTAGGCCTCGCGGCCGCCTAATTTGCCCGGTCGGCACATTACCTGCCAGCCAGGTAACGTTATGAGCTCTCAGCCCTGTCGCTGTCAAAGCGAGACTCTCAGTTTGACAGCGACAGGGCTGAGAGCTCAATCCACTTATCTTGTCTGCTGGAGCTCCGTCCACCAGCCAATGAGACGAGACCTCACCCCTCCCATCCACCGCACGAGGATCTCTATCTGGCTGGGAGGGCGGAGTTTATCATCAGAGGCAGATGTCGCCGGGAATCAGCTGGTCCTGCACGATCCCATCCACTCCTGCCTGCGAGACGCGACCTTCACAGGATGGTGAGACCTGGTCCCTGCCTGCAAAGCATCAGTGCGATAAACGCGGCCCACGCAACCCTGGTAACAGGTAACACTCACTACATAGAGCCCTTTTGACAGCCCCGTTGAGACCCTAGAGAGCCCTCTGTGGGGTCTCAACAGGGCTCTGTGGGGGTCTAACAAGGCTGGTTAGACCCCACAGGGCCCTGGTGAGACCCCACAGAGCTCTGCTACCCTGGTGATACCCCCTCAGATCCATGGGGAGACCCCAGAGAGCCTTGGTGAGACCCTAAAGATCCATGGGGGGCTGGTGAGACCCCCAGATCACCCTGGTGGGACCCTAAATCACCCTGGTGAGACCCCACATAGCCCTGGTGAAACCCTAGAGAGCCCTGCTTTACCCAGAGCTCTGAGGAGTCTCACCAAGGCTCCATGGAGTCTGACCAGGGCTTTGAGGGGTCTAACCAGGCTGGTGAGACCCTTCGGAGCCTTGGTGCTGGTGAGACCCTACATTGTCATGGTTTGACCAGGGCTCTGTGGGGTCTCTACAGTGCTCTGACCAGGCTGGTGAGACCCCACACAGCCCTGGTGAGACCCAACAGAACCCTGGTGCTGGTTAGACCCTACAGAGCTCTGGTCTCACCAGGCTCCCTGGGGTCTCACCAGGCTCTTTGGGGTCTAACCAGGCTGGTGAGACCCTGCAGAGCCCTAGTGGGACCTGGTCGCCCCTGGAAAAGCACCTTGTCCCCGTGCCGATGGGGACGAGGGCTTCTTCCCCACAAGTCCTGGGGTGTTGGTTGTGGGGGTGCTGGCTGTCTTATTCACATCAGGGTACTCCTTTAATAAACCCAGATGCACCCCCCCTGTGAATGTGTAAGGGGTACTTATACCCCTACCCATTCACTAAAGGGTTAAATCAATTTTTTTTGTAATTCTCCAGACTTTTGAAAAAAGTCCTTTAATTGAAAAAAAAAACAAAAGACATGATTATGACAAGTTATGACAGCGTTGTCCAGCGTTGTCCACGAGGAGGACGACTTGACGAAAATAAAAAATAAGTATAAAATAACAAAAAAAGAACCAGACACCCACTGACCCATCTGCTCACGACAACTCCCGCCGCAGAATGGCATTCTGGCAGATGGCGGCAAAATATAAACAATTGGGCGGAGCTAGCGATGACACAGCCGACTGAGCCGCGGTGAAAGCCGAAGCTGGCCGAATGGCCGGCCCAAAGCCTGTTTCTGACAGCTGGGCGGAGCCAGCCGTCATCTCACGGCTGGCTTCGGCCACTTTCAGAGAGATTAGCGTCCCTGGTTACCGGGTAACCAGGGACGCTGTCATTACACACTGAGAACCCGGCCGGGCTGCTATGATATCACAGCAGCCTCTCCTGTTTCTAAGTGTGTAATGACAGATGGTGTCCCTGGTTACCTGGGGTTACCATCTGTCATTACTCTCCCGGACGCTCTGGGAGTCTGATACGGCTCCCGGCCGCCCAGGAGAGAAACACTTTCTCTCGAAAAGGTTTACTCTGCTTGAGCGTGCAGAGTAAACCTTTCCTTGCGATCTGTTTTTTTTTCTTCTGACATGGGGCCATGCTGTCAATTAGCAGAGGGTGACCTGCAGTTCTCCATCAGGTCCCACTCTGGTGATTGACAGCAGCAGAGGGCGGGTGCAATAGCTAGATTGCTATTGGCTATTGCAAAGTGAATTAGCCAATAGGAATCTAGCTATGCATTCCCATGTTGTGGTTTTTTTTGACGGCAGCAGAACCGCCCGGCCAATAGAAAACAGTTGGGACTTCAGGTCGGTTATTCACTCGGCTGCCGTCGGCAGCTTAGTGAATAGACCCCTATGTGTTTTCTTCTTCTCTTTGCTATTCTTTGCTATTCTTTTTTTTTTGTACTTTCATTAAAGAAAAATTTAAAATAAGAGGGAACGCTACAGAAAATGTATGTAACTATTGGATACCTATAACTCCAACATGATTTCCAAAGAACAATCTACCCTTTCTGTGGGAAAACACATAGTGGTTGGGGTGTGCCTAGGCCTCCTAATACCTGCAAATTTCTTCTTCACCAAATAATAGCAGGTCTGGACTAGGAAAAAAAAATGCTACCATAAATAAATGGTTGTGCACCTGTATTGCTTAATGCATACTTCTTATACTTGTCCGGTCCAGGACTGAAAATGTGCATTTACATTTCAGGAAAATACAATTAAAGTTTAATTGATATCGGACTAGTGTATTTTAAAGCAATACATTGATTTATTTAAATTGAAATTCTTCTTTAATGTGGTTCATGTTATCAGGTTGACCAACATGGGCCCAGCATGTATTGTTTTTCATCCACTTAGAAACAGACGATCCAGCTTGTCGAATCTTTCCATGTCTTCTTCTGAAAGTTTAGCTCCTTTTAGCCTAGAGCGTAACACACAACACACGTATAAGCTGAGATACAAACTTTTAATGCATAAAATAAGATGATTTAGAAAATACTGACCTAAAAAATAAATATTTCAGAAAACATTAGAACATATGTCCATAATTGCCAACATTTCCAAAAGATTTCCGGTTGACATTTTTTTTTTTCGATTTGCTGTGACGGAGCTCCATCCATATGTGCATTGTTTGTACAGCTCTCTTGCGCGCCTTGTAGTGGTGCCAGGAGCCAGAATGTGACGTCAGTCCAGTCTAGGCACCTCTACAGGACACATGTGGGGGCTGTAAGCAATGCGACCATAATTTCAGCCCACCCCACCTCAAGCTGACTTGCAGGGCCGGGCAGCATATTTTGAATGGCTGCTCGGTGCGAGAACGGACATTGCTGCGCTAGGGGGAGGCTGAGGAGTGTCTCACCTAAAAAAGTGGAAGGCATGTGTGGACCCACTGAACATGGGGTCGCGACCCACTTTTGGGTCACGACCCACCAGTTGAGTACCAAGGGTCTAGACTTCTACACTTTGTTAGTTGTCAATTGGAGTCCACAAGAATTGCTGGTTGTAGTCCCCAACTATTTTAATGATGTTATTATTTACTACGTTATTCTTTAAGCTAGGCTAGATAAAGCGCTTGCTAAATATCGTATTCACAATCTAATTCTGCTAAATCTCTGGTCTACAACAAACTGTGGCTTGGAACAAACCACCTGGATTCATGCACATTTTAATGTTAATTCCTATTTTTCCTCATCATTAGCCTCCCTGTCTGGTCTAAGCTGCTGCTGGTGCTGATGCTGTGAGCTTATTTAACAATCAGTGCTAAAGTAGTTTTAAACATTTTTCCAATTAATGAAACCTGTGTAAATATTGTGTAAAAAATGTATATATAGACCCTCTAATATATATGCAACATACAATATTATTTGTAAATGAACAGCTTGGCATTTACCAGATCGCAGTAATAGTGTTGTTATATTTCAGACATTCAGCAAATGCAGACACACCAGGTGTACTGAAATTGTTTTTAGAAATCCTATAAAAAAATAATAATAGTATTAGACACACAAGGTTGCTATTATACATTCTTAGTTTTAAATTAAGCACGTTTACCCAGTGTTGATCATCAACAGTAACATGGAGACTATAGCAGTTTAAATAAAATCCAAGGACCCCACCATATCTATTGCAGAAAGTTTTAGCAGACCCCTGTCCAGGTCATAATGTGCTAATGTTAAACCCAAATAGATAAAATTACACTTTTGCAGTATTTCTAAGGATCGAATAGCAGATCACACACTTACTTATACAGAGATGTGAAGGAAAGAGAAATCCTCCCTGAACCTAGATTTGTAGATACATTAAGATGAATTTACTGTATATGCAAATCTTGAGCTTGAACAGCTTGAACATATCCTTCTACCTATTCAGCTCACCTGATTGTCAATAAGGATTCTCATCACATAAATATACTTTATACAAAGATAAAGTAATTTTGCCCACACAGGGGGTCCCTCCCAGCTCCTTGCTCCTCTGTAGCCAGTGAAAATACCCAGCAGCTCTGGCTTACAGAAGCATGTGACCTGCTCTCCTGTGACTGTGCCCAGGCCTAATGATTGGCAAGCCTAGCAAGCACTGTCACATGATGTCACTGGTCTCTAGGATCACGGACACAGCTGATCTCATCTCTGGATGCAGGGAAGCAAGAAACTGTAAGGGATTGCAGGTGAGGTGAGTATATTAGACACGTGAACTTCATTTTGTGTTGAATGAAAATTCGGATGAATTTTTGTGAATTTGGACATTTGGATGCATCCGAATTTCTGAATGAAACAAATACCAAATGCAAGAAAATTTGAATTTTGCGGTAATGAAAATTCAGATGTATCCGAATGTCTGAATCCCATTCGGACTATTCTTTACAGAGTGCGGTCCCCCTCCCAATCCACACCAGGCCTTTTAGGTCTGATAGGAATTTTAAGGGGGGCACCACGCAAAAAAAACCCCATGGGGTTCCCCCTAAAATCCCTTACTAGGCCCTTGATTTGAGCAGTGGACTGGTATAGCAGGAAAGGGGGGCAATGGAGTGCCCCCCTGCACCATACCAGGCCACATTCCCTCAACATAGGGTCCCTATGTTGATGAGGACAAGGGCCTCTTCCCCACAACCCTGGCCCAGTATTTGTGGCGGTCTGCAAGTATGGGAGCTTATAGGAATCTTGTGCTTCCTTTGATAAAGGGGGCACCCAGGTGAACCCCCACCATGAATTAATAAAGGGTAAATGTGACCACTACTTATTCCCCAAATAAACAGTAATAGTAAATAAACAATTCCTTAAGTTAAAAAAAGTCCCACATTGTTAATTGAGCCTTAATCACTGCGTCCAGCAATGTAAATCCTCACGATCCTCGGTGCCCCATGCCTGCCGAAACAAGAAATCCTGCCTCTCACCGCCTCAATGAATCTTTCTTTAAATTGGGCAGTGGCCAAGAAATAAACAGTCTGCTATTGGCTATTTCAAATTGCAATAGCCAATAGCAGGATGCTATTGCAGCTGTCCACCACCAAATGTCAATCCGCAGAAGAGGACCTGAGAGAGAATTTTCTCTGTCAGGTCTGCTCCTCTGTGTGAGCAATAGCCATCCTGTTATTGGCTATTTCAAATTGCAATAGCAAATAGCATGATGGCTATTGCCCCATCCACTGCCTGCTATCAATCAGCAGAGGAGCGGACCTCTGTCTCAGAGAGAAGGATGTAAAGCCCTGCATTATACTTTAGGATGCTTGGGGACAGACCCTGAGCCAGAGTAGTGGAGAGACTAAACACACAAAAAAACACACAGCTCACCCCTGTCATGCATCCTTGCAATCCATATTCAGTGCAGGGGATAACCATCTTCTGAAAAAACTGTCTCAAAAACTGCAAAACCGGCACACAATGCTCTTCCAAGGAAAATAAAATTTTATTCCACATGCATCTGTAAAACTGCTTTACCATGATGCCTTAGACCAAAACCAGCAGTTAATCCTGGAAGCCCCACTGCAGTGGGAGTTTTTTTCCCCAGAGGTAGGCTTTTAGGGCCCATTCACACCATCTCCGGATCATCTCCAGACCAGACCAGATAGTTTACGGACCAAAAATGCATCCTAATGTATCCTTATGCTATTTCTGGCCTCTGTTCACACCAGCGCAGTCCGTTCCAGACCAGACCGGAAAAATACTGCTTGTCCTATTTTGTCTGGTCTGGAATGCACTGGAACACATAAAAATGCCTCACATACAAACGCACTGGAACGCACCTGTAGGACCATTTTAAGCAAAAATAAATAAATAAAAAAATGTCCAAACATGCCAAAATCACCGTAAAAACGCGGCAAAAACGCAATGCACTGCGTTCCAGATCTGGTCCAGAAACTGGTTTGAACTTGCCCTAAAGCCTTTGGATTAACATTACAGGCACATAACTAGCATCTAGAAAAGGGGAGTTCATAAATAACAGCCTGCATATTTTCTCAGCCTACGTGTTAATGCTGGGGATGCACCGAAATTGAGTTTTTAGACTGAAACCGAAACTAAAGAATGTGTCAGGCCGAAACTGAAACCGAAACTTCGTTTTTTCCCCCACACTTTAAAAAATGTTTACATTATTTTTAAATTATTTTATTTTTATTTGTCTTTTTATTTAATTTTTACTTTACCATCGGGGGCTCTGGGGAAATAAACAGACCCCTTTTAAAATAGAAAAAGAGATTGAGGCTGCAATTTCAGCCATTATGGTACTTTCAGCTTTTTGCCCAAAGTACCATTTTCGGCCGAAATGTTACGGTGGCCAGAATTTCGGTGCATGCCTAGGTAATGCCCTTTAAACGTCGCTTTTGCTTTATCAATCTCTGTTGTATCAGAGAGCTCGTCAAAATACCCATAAAGCAAGGCACAAAAATTCCTTTTGATGCAAACCAAATAACATTAATCGAGGCCCAACTCCA